TGATGGAGAGGAGGTATAGATTGGACATCCGCAAAAACTACTTCACGGTTAGGGCGGCTAGGAGCTGGAACCAACTTCCAAGGGAAGTGGTGCTGGCCCCTACCCTGGGGGTCTTTAAGAAGAGGCTGGATGCCTACCTGGCTGGACTCATTTGAGTCCTGTGTCTTGTTTTGGGGTTTTGTTGTTCTCCCGCCCTGGCGGGGGGTCGGGCTAGAAGATCTACTAGGTCCCTTCCGACCCTAAATCTATGAAACTATAAGAGCTGCAGGAATGAAGCTAAACAAAGGTAAATTCCACGGTGTGCCTACAGTAATCCCTGGTATGGTCAGAGCAACTTGGGATTTGTAGGCATATAAAGAGAAAGATGAAGAAACAACTTGTGTGATATGAGACACCACTTCCTGAATGGGATGCATCATTCATGTGGTGGAAATCACTGGTTACGAACAGGAGTTGTGACATCTAAGATTGTCTGAAGTGTCATAAGATGCCCACCCCAGGCAGCTGCCTACTGAAGGGAACTGGGTGACCCCTTCCTCAGCTCCCAGAAGGAGTGGCAGGGTGAGGGGGATGGTGTTGGGGAAGTCAGTTAGGCACCAGCTACAACACACTAAGGCAAATGAGCCAGACAACATGGCACTGTCCCAACTAACAGGTTCAGCATTTCAAGGGAGACCTGCAAATCCAGGAGTCTCAGGGATTAACTAAAATTTATTTGTAGATTAGCGATAAGGTCTTATGGAACTGTTACATAAATGCATACTTCATGGTGATGGTAAATGTTGGCTGGGAAAAGCAGGGCTAGTGTAGGGAACTGTACCTTTCCACGGTTCAGCTTCCCACACACAGGAAGCTTGGGCTGGGGTCCTGCCGGATTCCACGTTGTGTTAAACACGGGCAGCTGGGAGCGGGTGATTGAACAGGGAGAGTCTCTGGACCCAGGATGATTTCTGAGTGCTGCTGAGGAGGACGCTAGCTCTGCTGCTGTCTGTGTTGCTCCTGTTTGGGGCTGCTGGTTTTCAGGACTGACCAGGCCAGTGGCTTTCGCCAGCTCCAAACCAGGTAAGTGAAAAGGGGGTTTGTGAAAGCACATAGCTGGTCACTTGGGAGCGGGAGAGAAGTTGTGTGAGCCATGCTTCAGCACTGTGCTTGGCACAGGAAGAACGTGGCAGGTGAACGGGGCAGGCAGGCAACCTAAGGGGATGATCCCAGACAGTCTTCTGTGAAGATTGGTTGAAGTGTCTGGGTGCTAGTGGATTAGCCTCTGGGAAGGAAGAAGTCACGTGTGGCCGCTGAGACTGAAGAATGAGTTGCTGTTCATTCTTGCAACATGCAAGAGGGACAGGAGCAAGAGGGAGGAGAGCGGGCCCGGATCCCATTGCTGTTCCCGATGAACTGTGGGTGTTTGGACCCGGGGCTCGGGGCAGGCAGCCTGGCAGGGGAACTTGTGGGCATTGCTCTGGTGGAGGTTGTGGGCCCTGTGCTTCAAGCACAGGATGGTAAGTGGTGGCAATAGCAGCAGTGTTTAGGACACCTTTACTCATCAAC